TGAAGCATACAGAAATAGTTTAGCAACTTTGTGGCTTCATATCGCAATTTCATCTGTACAAAACCATTAGATCGGCTAATATGCCTGATTTCATTTTGGGATTTTAATGTTGCTAACACAAAAGCATTCCTTTTTCTAATTAAAAAATCTGGTCACCATGATACCCTCGCCCTGATACCCTTGCCCTCTATTTGGAGCTGCGTTTTAAAGCGATAATCTACCTCCATATGCTTAGAAGCTGTCTGCACACCTGCTCACTTTTTAGGGTCACATATGTTCTTCCAGCCTTACCTACTCCTTTGACGTTATGCCCAATGCTAAAGGGGTGAGCAGTTACTCTACGCTTTATACTGGCACCTCAGGAACTCATGTGAAGCTGGAGCTCTGCTGTGCCAGTTGACGTACAGAGTGAAAACCAATCTAAATAAGAAAAACAAAGAGCAGGAAGAAAGAGAGAGACCACAAAAATGTGTGGTGTTTTGCTGAAGGTTACAAGCAAATCACTGAGAGTCACGGGGAAGAGAGTCTTATCTCCAGATTTGTTACCCGCTATACTGTATTACCTCCTGAACATATCCAGGAACTTAATGACTTGTATTCAACTAACTTTGAAAGAAAAGAGAGGTAATGTGAGAAGGAGACATACTGGTGTGATCCAAGGAGCAGCGTGCAAATTTATTGAGAGACTATTCTGACTGGCCTGTAAAAATAGATGTGTTCCACGCACCAGAGGAGATGTGAATTATATTCACAGAGGATTAGGGAGGTAAATCAGAAGTACTAAGAGGAAAAACTCATAGACTGTCAAGCACAATGCAGTCATGTCTTTAAGTACCATGACAACATTTTTCTGAAAGAATCATAGAAATCTAAAGAGATGTCAAAATAAACTGAAGTTTCTCAGATACAGAACAGGTGTTCTGAGAAGGTATTTAGCAAATTCATATTACTGAATGATCAAAGAAATCAAGAAAGCCAATAACAAAGTGTTAGTTAACAACCACCTTAAACTACTACTTTTGCTGCATCTGTCAAAGAAAAAAGAGAAATGAACCTTGTTACAGCCAGTGCAAACTAAAGAGGTGAATAAGTCAACAATTTGATATTTGAAAATATTGTACAGACTTGCCAATAACTCAAGGATTATCAGAAAGAGATTGTTATTGAAAATGAAGTTACTAATTTTCAAAGAGATGGCCAAATACGATTTAAAACAAAAATGACAACGCTGGATCATTAATTACATAACTGTTAAGTCCTATTCTGTGAAAGACATGTATTCTTGTTAACACTACTGCTTCACTGTATAAGTGCTCACAGGCAATCTGTGAGAACATCTCAGATACCACAACCTGCAACTGTTGCTCTTGGGGCTTCTGTGATGCCTAAAAACGTCATAATGCACATTTGTACTCTCACTGTTCACGGGCAATAGGCTGTAACGTCACTCATGTAAAAGGCCGATGTAGAATTGGAAACACGTAAGTTAATTACCACCAGACAAACAACATACCTCGCTATACACAATTTGTAAATTGATCTTTGGTGGCAATCTCAGAAAAGGAAAACATGGATTAAGTGAGACTGTGAAAAATGACCTGGCTCTTTACTTTTTATAACATACTGGGAAGACAACATGGATGAAATTCCACTAATGCTGATCACGCCTTACATCCTCAATAACTGAAGAGAAAAATTCAGTGTTTTCTGCAGCACTAACATTTACATACAAATTAACGATGACTTTTGAGAACCATAAAGAGAAAGGAAGGACGTATTTCCACAATGTGAAAATCCTACTGGCTGATTGGAAGCGTACTCCATTTAGTAGTTTTATTGAAAATAGAGAACGCTAGTTCTGCAGTTCATCAAACTTCACGTCCGAATGAAAAATGCATTTGCAGTTGTGGTCGGTTGTACTCGTGCCTGATGACGTTGCCCTTTGGCAAACAGGTCTCTGAGGGAATGCCTTCTTCACAAGGAATAAGGGAAGGGTAAGAAGAAGGAAAAAGGAAAGGGAAAAAAGGACAGGGGAGGTTGAAAGATTATTTAAGAAGAAAGAGCAAGGGACTCTGCAGCCAGAAGCTGTGATTCTCTCGAGAAGCTCTGTTTATCTAGGCATCTTCAGTGACTTAATGTTCTAAGAACTGTGACACGCCAACGCTCGAGAATATCTTCCCCTATCAGATAGCACAAGTCACCTGCTAAAGTTATTCCCCAAGGGCCAAATTCACTCTTGTTGCATCACTGAAAAGTCTGCTGAAGTTAGTCTGTATGCTGGTATTAATGAAAGGAGTATTTGGCTCAAAAAATGTTTCCATTTTTCAATTCTTGAAGCTGATGCTGGACACTATACAGAATTCAGGAACTGTCCACATTTAGGCTGCACTTTATTGCAAAACAATAAAGCATAACTTTAACAATTTTAGTTTGTGAACAACAAGACTGGAGTCAAGCGTTTAGTGGGATTACGGTCTTTATTTAGGATTTAATAATCTATCGTCACAGTTCTGTGGTATATATCAGCTTTTACAATTTAGCATAAGTCTTTCAGATGTTAGGCGTTTTTATTAAGATATAAAAGTTTCTGGATCATATAATTAGGTGAGAATCTAAACACCATTTCAGCAACTGTGTTTAACGTCCTTGAAAAATTGGAAGTACGTCTTAAGAATGCCCCAGGTACACCTTTAAAGATCAGAAACCATAAAGCAGCACAAAATATACAACTCGGTTAACACCACGATATTTAAGATAATACTTTGCCCATAGTACTAAGTATGAATATATTCCATCAGGAAGATGGAAACAAGAGTCAGGTCTGTCACTTGCATAGGGACCTAACACCTTTTCTTTACACGTTTCCTTATTATTCATTGTATTAGTTCCTACAAGTGCAAAGCCTGTAATCCTATATGTATAGAAATAACATACATAGAACACTAGAAAATAGAACAGAAGAGAACACAGATCGTTTTCTCTCCCTCAAAGGATTATGGATTACTAGAATGGGTAAGAGTTTCTTCTGCGCCTACTGCAGGTCGAACAGAAATGAAGAATGCTGTACTGAAAGAAATTAAAATTCTCTTTGCCTTCTCATGAAAGTTTGGACACCTTAAAAATCTAATATCAAGAAGTTTTCCCTCTCTCTCTTGCTTCTGCAATGACTTGGTGAGATAAGCAAGCAGGATAGGGTGTCTGGCTTTCATCCCTTCTTTTAAAGAAGGATGTGGAAATGCTAAAGGGAGTTCAAAGGAGGGCCACAGAAATGACCCAGGTAAGGGTTAAGGAGCTTAACTTATTCAGCTTAATTTGAAAAGCAGCTTAAGAAGTGACTTGATCACTGTGTTTATCTGCACACACCTTGAAAAAGCAGCTGATAGCGAACTAAGGGCTTTGCAACAATACTGACAAAAACTGAACAAGATTTACTGCCTGCAAAGCTGGCAGACAAGTTTTAAAACCACCACTACCACCACCACGCAATTACCTAGCGAAGAGGATAACAGAGCACAGGGACAGTTTATCAAGCGATGAACTCGCCATCACCTGAAATACTTAAAATAAGTCATCTGTTTGAAAGAGATTATTTCATCCAGCTTCTGGGATAAATCCTGTGGTCTACGAGTGCAAGGGGGTTGATTGGGCTGGATGGTTTTCGTAGTCCTTCCTGGTCTCAGAGGTTGTGACTCCGTGAGGTTTTCCTTTCATCCCTTTCCCTCGTGGATGTCAGAGGGACACTGATATTGTCAGCAGCTGCAATCGATAGGCTGCTAACACTTGCAGCTTTGTATTAACACAATTCAAACCTCATGTTTCAGAGCATCATCTGCTCTGCTACAGAACTGGGCAAGATTTACCCTAGGCCTGAGCCTTTAGGACATGACTGGCTAAAATGCCTTCTTAGGACCTCAGTGGGAGTATCAGAAGTTGGCTAAAAACGAAGGAGCGGCACAGGCCAGGGAGATGCAGTATATGCACCGCTAGACCAACTCATCTTTACTGACGCCTGCCTACTTCATATGATTAAGGTCAGACTGATTCCCTCCCCCCCCCTCCTTCAGTCAGACGGCGGTTGGGAGCTTTTCTCCCTCGGAGGCGCCCGGGGCACCCTCACCTGACAGACGTTTCTAGCGCCTCTGTTTTCTCTCTGCGACACAAACGCAGCTTCCTGAGGGCTCCGGTGTCGAAGTCTGATGAACCCCCTTAGCTTCGACAGGTGACTGCGAGTAAAACGCGGGGTCTCTCGCCATACGCGCCCGAGGGAACAGAGAAACTTTTGTCCGCTCGAGCTGTCACTGGGGCACAGTGAAGCCGTGCTAACCATCACCTGCCCCGCTGCCAAGCTCCCGCCGAGGTTCCTCCGTGTTAATCACGCTCTTTAATCACAGCCATCTGTTACCGCAGCCCGAGAGGTG